TGCCGAGGCCTCTTAGGCTGTTATCGCGGGTGGCTGGGTCTGAGAGTGTCCTAGAAGCGAAGAAAATGCTTATGGGCAAATTCCATCAGGTTTTCTGTAGTTTTATCTTCCAGGTCCATACACTTCAAGGTGACGAATGGTACAGTTTCGTCGGTTTTGTCTTAAAGCTTTCTCATAATAGCGTTATCTCTCCGAGGAGAAATGCCAAACCTACCCACTCTCACTGGACTAATTTCCGATGTAATGCTCTTCAGCCCAAGTTATGAATTTCCTTTAAAAATGAAAACCCAACTGCAGCTAGCTTTATCAGTTCTTTGTAACAGGATTTGACACAGATTGAGCTTAAGTAGCTCTGTTTCTAAGCCTTTTGAGAACTGACGAGCTTATTTAACTCTGAAAAGTCTCTCTGCCAGGAGCCAGAAAAAAAAATGTATTTGGTGGCCCATTGGTTATTAAAGGTCCCAGAGGACTGTACCCAGGCCCTTGCCAGGCTCTTTCTAAAGCTTTAGCTCAACGCCTCCTGTAATTAGGGTGGTAAACATTAGTAATTGGCCCTGATTGCTGGGAGGGAAATGAAGCACTGTCTTTCCCCTTCCCTCTAGGCTCTATTTCTTGCCTCTCCTGTACAATATTAGCTGATAAGAGGTAAAGGAGCAGTAATAGCTACCAGCTACCAACTGCCACAGACTCATACTGTGAACAGACTTTACAGTGACAAAATCAGGTGTACAAAAACGAAACCTTATTTTTCCAGAACTGAACTAAATTTCCATTGTCACGGGGGTCTTGTTACCCCGGTATTATCAATACCTTGCACACACATGCCCATAGATATTTCTTAGACAAACGAATGATACTGTTGTCCTAAAGTGAAATTCAAGGACACAGGAAACACATCTAATGGCATATAGTCAGCAACAACAAGCTACTATCTGACCCTGGCATAGGATCCTTTCCTTTATGCCACACAAGTTTTCTGAATAGAGTTGCTCATTGATTCAGTCATTTTTTTTTCTCCTGGATGCCAGTAACAGATGATACTCATTGGCTTAGACAAGAAGTGGAATTTACATGTTAGAATGACTCAAGAGTCTAGTGACACAAATGTCTTCTGTCATATTTGGATCTGGGGCTTACACCATTGTCAGTGGGACCTGCCCTCCATGTTTCCTTGGTCTCTGAGTGTGTGGGCTTCATTTCAAACCTCTAGAACCCTCAGGCTTGAAGTACCCTTACCACCAGCAGCCCTGGCAGAAAAGCACTTGCATTTACATCTGTTTTTCTCTATCATTTGGTGACTAGTATCATTGCTAGTATTGCCTGCCTGTGGGATGAGGGCAAGCAGGGAAAGAGGCCGTATCCTGATGTTCTACAAGGACTTTGTGGCCATATTTAATCTATTACTGTCCTGGTTACTTTTCTCACTGCTGAGACAAAATACCCGACACCCACAAGTCAAGGGAGGAAAGGTTTATTTAGCTCAGTTTGTAGAGGTTTCAGTCTGTAACTGGCTGGCTCCAAGGCAGGGTGGCACACGGCAGAGGGGTAACAGTTCATTGCGACAGAAGGTAGCAAAGCAACTTCTTTCTGCCCTTTTATATTTTATCCAGGCTACAGGGATTAGGGCCATGCCAAAGCAATCAGTGGACTGGTTTAGTAATCACACACCCTTAATCCCAGCAGGACACGCTCTAGGTCCAGCCACCTCTGACCACTTGAGGCTCCCAGGATGTCTGGACCCAGCCATGACACCCGAGAGGAAAGGAGCAAAGACGAGAGAAAGGAAGTGACTGGTCAAAGACTGCATCTCATGTGGGTGTCAAGAGCCTGAGGTTTCTGACTGAAGACCTACGTGTCTCCTTCCACACCTGAGTGGACCCTTTTGGAAGGGAAGGCACAGATGTGGGCCCAGGAAAGGGAAGGCTTTGCCAAAGCCACAGAGGCAATGAGCTATCTCAGCTTTGCCATCTCCCACTCTACCCAGGCAATGCTCTCAGATTCCCAGGGCCAGGGGTGGAGCCACAGTGTTTGTAAGAAGCAGAGGAAGAGTGGGCCAGGCAAAGTTCTGATCTCCCCCTCCAGGAGGCAGAGGAGAAACAACGTGAGTTTATTCAGAGGGTCCTGAGCATGGTCTCTTTGCTCCCCGGGTGGCGTTAGCAGACTTGGGCACCACGCAGGTCACAGGCACGCTTGTCTTCTGCACTACACCATGTCCTCTACTGGGCATTTCAAGCAGGTGGAGTAGAGCTCACTGTATAAATGTTTGTGGAAGAAAGGGAAGTGTGACATCACCGGACCCTGGCTGAGGATGAATGCAGGTTGTGGTACACTTAGCTGTTGCATAGCTACGAGATTCATCCCAGAAGCACAGAAGTTGTTGCTACACCATAGCTACGCAAGCACAGTGTTTATCATTGGGCCCACAGGTCCGGCACATGTATGTAGTAAATATTTCCTGAATGAATGGATGGATAAATGAGGGAGTTCAACTTCAGTCGCACCAGAGGTTCATGCTTTTCCTTGGAAAGTACTTGGGAGCCCCTGAATATGGGAATATGGCTCCCCCTCGTGGATACTCCAGGGTCACGCCTGGACCTTGAACATTTTCCCCCAGTTTTGTTCCGTGCCTTCTCTATTTGCTTATCCCAGCTTAGATTGGCTGCTGTTCTCTGGAGGAACAGAATCCATAGAATATGTGTGTATAAAATTCTGAAAGGGGATTTGTTAGGTAGCTTCCAGGGTCAGAGGTGGGAGAGTCCACTGTGGCTGTGCACACCGGCGAGCATCCAGCAGCTGCTCAGTTTGGAGAAGCAGCCTCAGCGAGAGGGATGGAGGATGCAGCTGGAGTCCAAGGCAGAGGCATGTAGCTCCCTGGAGAGTCGCTGGTGAATCCGCTCTGGAAGCGGAAGAAAGTAGAGACCCATGTCCAGGGCAATGGCAGCAAAAGACACACCACTCAAGCAGAATGTTCTTCCAAATGTTTGCCATCTTCCTCCTCCTTTCTCTTTCCTTCCATCCAGGCCATCAGCCTCTTGTCTAGTGCCACCCACAGTCCGGTGCGCCTCCCCCGCATCGGGCATCTCTGGGGACCCCACAGGCATGGCCAGAACTGCTTGGCTTGTCTGCTGGGCATTTCCTAGTGCAGTCGACATGACAGGCAGCAGACATGACACAGAGCTCTACCCACCTCCACACGGACCCTGGAGGATGGCAGCGAGGTCCTGCAGCCAAGCAGAGGCCAACTGGGAGCCCTGGCATGGGCCGCTTGAGAGAGGCGTTGTCGGTGGACAGAGTGGACTGGGAAGGAAGAATCACCTTAGCCCTGCTGGTGACACAGAGCACACAGGGCCAGTGTCCTGTGACT